CTCAAACATCATCGAATCAACCAATTAGCATCGGATTCAAGCCTAGAACTTCAAAAACTCTCAATTTACGCTTTCGATCAAAAAGTCTATCAAACCTCGTCCGAATGACCTGAAATTTTACACACACGTCACATTCAACACTACGGAGCTATTCCGACTTCCGGAATTCCATTCCGACCCCGATATCAAAATCTCACTATCGAACCGGAAACTTCAAAAATTCAACTTTCGGTATTTCAAGCCTAATTAACCGACGGACCTCCAAAATATAATCTGAACACGCCCCTAAGCCCAAAATCACCCAACAGAGCTAACGAAACCAACGGAATTTTATTCCGAGGCCGTCTTCACACTGTTCCGACTACGGTCCAAATTCTAAAACTTAAACTCTCATTTAGGGACTAAGCGTCCCAAAACTCTCCGAAACTCCAAATAAATCCTCCCGGCAACTCACAATCGCATAAACAAACACGGGGAATGCAGTTAATACGGGATCGGAGCGTTCATTCTTAAAACGACCGGCCAGGACGTTACAACATTTGTGTAAGTTGCTTAAACAAACTTCGCTTAACTCTTTGTTAAATACTTTTTCTAGATGTTTGGGCCAGTTACTCATGACAATCTACTTCTTTCATATTAATCACTTGATATTTGATATTATGCATGTTTCCGTATTCTTTTATTATGATGAAGTTGTATAATTACATCTTGCAATAGGAGGCATTTACCAATAATTACATGAAACTAATATCTTACGGCTTTATAAATATTTGGGGCTATTTATCGCGCTCATTACTAAGTATGTATTTTTTAAATATTTGTTGTATGTTGTACTTTAGGTAACCTCTTTTTCATTTCTAATGATAGATATATCAAATAAATTTACAAACTTTTGGCTTCTTAAATTTCTAAAAATCTGTAGGTTGCATACAACTTATCAAAGACTGTAGAACATATTTTACTAATTAAATTATTTCAAAGGAATAAACTACAATAAATAAATAGTTGTGTCAAAAAAATTCTTTGAGAGTGGAGAGAAATAATTGTAGCAAATCTATAAAGGTGTTTGTGGACGATTAAATAATAATCTTTGGATAGAGTGCTGTATATTTACATCAAACAACAAAAAATACGTTCAATGAAAAGATTACCCGAAAAATTTCAATTGAATACTTCAAAAACAAATAACTATTGCACTTCTTTGTACTGTAAGAACCGCATTGACGAAGGAAAATAATACATTGAATTGACGTATGAATAAAAATGTTATTTTATAGAAGATAGAACCGGTGCAACTAGGTTTATTTATAGAAAAAAAATACTTTTTTGAATTGGAGTTTGAATATTTATTGATACCTTGTAAATTTAGATTTTTATGCAATGAAGTTAATAAAAAATGAGATAGAGCTCATTGGCAGACACTTTATAACCTAAGCAAGTCTCCTACGTAATTAATGTTTACAAGAAAATTAAATTATATGTATAAAAAAATAGGGAAAAAGGTCAAAATTGCCCCTGTATTATTGTCTATTGGTTGCTTGTGCCACCCGTTATACATTTGGGTCATTCTTGCCCCTACCGTTAATGAACTTAAACTAAATGCCCCCAACCCTAATGTCTATACATGTTGGCAGCTGACCACATAAAATTTATCCAAGTCAGCAGCCACGTCAGCTTCCACATCAGCGGGCCCACCAATTTAAAAACCCACTACACCTATTTACATATCCCTCTCTTACCAACAATTAGGGCTCACGACCCCAATCCTTTTCCTTCATCTTCAATATCTCAAGGAAGTTGTTCTTCCCAAATTAGGTGTCGTTGTGACATCTTTGCAAACCACTTCACTTCAACGACTCCATTAAACCCTGGAAGGCGATTTTTTAAATGTCCGAAGCCTAAGGTTAGTAATTGTGTAACAAAAGATCTAAATTAGTAACTGTTTGCTCTAATTTATAGTGTAATAATAACGATCTTAGTTTCTTCTGTGATTTTTTTGTTTTGGACAGAATCGTTCTTGTGGTTATTTTGAATGGGAAGATGAAATCTCGTTCTCCAATGATTTGGTTACAACTAAAGATGTAACATCATCTTGGGAAGCTATTAAAGATGATAGGGATAAATTGAAAGAAGAATTAATTGCCCTGAAGGCTCTACACAAAGCTGAAGCTGCAAAAGTTACGAAATTGGAAGGGAAGGTTTTGAAGACGAGGATGATGCTTATGATCTCATGGGCACTTTTTGTTGGATTTGTTGTGGCGTCGATGATGAAGTGAAAGTTGATGAATCTTGTTGATGATGCTAATGAATATGTTTTGTTGTCAATTTTATTGTCGTCTGGAATTGGATGAGAAGGTGTTATGTATGTTGTTTCGAACCTTTTATATTAGACCTTGTAATCTTAGTTAATGTAATTCGAATATATTAGTTGTCAAGAATTAGTTAATGTAATTCCAAGTTATGAGCTTGTATCAATCTCAAATTAAAGCTTATATTAATCAATTTAATCTTAGAAGTTGTTAGTTCTTTTGTGATGAATTTTGTGTATTATTAGTTGATGTTATGGGATGATTAACATATTTATGTCAAAAAGTATGGACAATTTACCAACTCCATTCCCAACCTAAAAGCTGGACAGTTTCATGAAGGCCTTTTTGTGCCAAAATCTGGGCAGTGTTACAATATTTTGGTCTAAAATGTGGACATTTACACTACACCACTTATGTCAAAATGTGGTCACTTTCACAAAGGCCTTTTTTGTGGCAAAATCTGGACAATTTGACAATATTTTAGTCTAAAATCAGGACATTTTCACTACACCAATCATGTCAAAATCTGGACACTTTTACAATACCATTTTGGTCCAAATTCTGGACAGTTTCACAAAATAACCTGTTAACAAAATCTGGACAGCATCTATAACTCATAAATATTAACTTAAACAATTCATAAATACTAATTTCATTCATCATAAGGGGATGTCACATTATCACCCCAAAAACCTACATAAACAAGTGATAACAAGACATTAAGTTTCCCAACCTAAACATTCAAACTACATTCAACCACAAACAAGGGGATGTCACATTATCCCCCCCAAAAACTATCACAATTAGGTGATAACATGACATCCGAGTGAACATGTCACTAACTAAACAGCCACACTAGTTTAACAAGTTTACTTGGCTAATAATTACATCACAACCAAAAATATACTATCATAATAGAGTCCAGAACACCAGAACTGCTGGCTTTCAAGTCTGCTTCTTCCCATTACCCTTGTTTGCTTTCAACTTGGCCAATCTTTGCTTGTTAAGCTAGTTACCAGTAATAGCATTTTTTCCCTTCCAATGCAGCTTCTTTGGTGAGAATGGTAGGTTTGATGGCTCACTCACACCACTGGCATCACCAACAAATCTGATTTCCCTTGTTCCAATTGCTGCACTTTGTAATTGCCTCAGTTGTAGCATAGTCTTTGCCTCAGAGATACTTCTTGGCCTTATAGCTATTTCAGGCTCAGGCTCAGGGTCAAAGTCTGGGTATTCAAAGTCTGGAAAAGCACTAATGCTTGGTTCTTTCCTCTGCACTGAAGGTGTTGGCATGAACACCATGTTGCTAGATTGACTTGTTTGACTAGGCTGACTTGGCTGAGGGGCTGACAGATGAATTTCCTCATCATTGACTTCTTGTGGCACTGGTGCAGCAGAGGGAGATCTGGGCTGTTCAGATCTGGGCTGTTCATCATCAGCTTCATCTAGTAAAGTTCTCTTCCTCTTTGTCTGCTTTCCCTTCTTGCCTCCAATGGGCTGCTTTCCTTTAGAATGCTGTTAGTAAGACAGAAAGTTTTGGTTAGTTGTTGAAACAGAAAGAACGATAGAAAAAGTAATGGTCTTGATTACCTTTGCACACCCTCTACCATTGTGTCCAGGTTCACCACAGTTGTTACATGTCATTACCCTCCCTTTCCTTGACTGAGACCATTGTCCTTGCCTATTAAGTTCCTCTTTTTTTTCTCTTGTTCTCTTAACCTTTGGTCTCCCAGTCATCTTTACCAAAGGTGGTGGAGCCATGTACTGTGAAGGCTCAATTTTCCAGAACTTTTCTCCTCTTACTGGTTGTAACTTATGTGAGTAAATGTGGAGATAAGTCTCTTTGGTAAGGTACTAATGAATCTGACTTAGAGGGTCCACTTTCTTGTGCAATAATGCACATATTGCATGAGGACATGGAATGCCACAAAGATCCCATGCCCTACAGGTACATTTCTTCAATCTCAAATTCACAATGTGCCTGTCACTATTTTCAGTCACCTCATATCCATGGTCTGCACTGCCATTAACATGACACTTCAATGCAATCCTCATGAATTGGTTGTACAACTCCATGGTTTTAGGACTGTATTTATTTCCCCATGACATCACCTAAGCTTCATGTTCATTAATCATATTCATCACCTTGATTCTAATATCCTCAAGCATCTTAATGATTGGCTTGTGCCTTGCTTGCAAGATCCAAGCATTGAATGACTCAGTCAAGTTGTTGTCTACAGCTTGGTTCTTGCAAACAGTATCAAAGAATGCCCTACTCCAATATTTTGGTGGATACTTCAACAAATCTTCCACAGCTTCCTTTCCATCATCATTTACTTCACCCATATTCTTTATCTGATCTTTGAAGTCCTCTTCATAAGTACTCCATGCAGCCCACCAAAGCAATTTTTTGAATTCACCAGAACCACATCTCTTACACCAATTTGCTTCTATATGTCTTACACAAAATCTAAAGTGAGACTCTGGAAGAACAGTTTGGATTGAGTCAATCAACCCCTACAAAAAGCAATAGATAACATCAGATAAAAGTTAACAGAAGTCAACAAAAAAATTGAAAATAATAGTACAAATAAACAGTACATACCTTCTGCATATCTGATATAAATGTGATCCCTTCACCCATTTTCAGGTCTAGTGCAGTCTGTAGGTGACCTAATAACTACTTCCAAGTTAGTTTTGTTTCTTTGTCAACAATAGCCCAAGCCAATGGGTAGAAATGATTGGCAGAATCTTCACCAACAGCTGACCTTTAGCCTTCCCTTTCAAAAATGTTCCATCCAGTCCAATGAAAGGCCTCAAACCACTCTTAAACCCAGACTTTATTGCTTGAAAACAAATATACATCCTTAAAAACCTCCTTTTCCCTTCTTCAAGAGCATCTTTTGATAAGTTAATTATCACATCACTCCCAGGATTGCTAAGTTTCAATTCATTGGCATAGGCAAGAAGCTTATTATATTCATCTGTAAAACTACCTTCAAGTTTCTCCAAAATCATTCTCTTTGCCCTTTTGCACTTAGATTCACTAACATTTACATTAAATGCAGCTTTCAAGCTTGCCTTCATCTCTCTAATCTTAATTTTGGGGTTATCTTGCAAGCCTTGTTTAAAGTAATCAGCTATTGTGTTTGCATGTACTCCATGATTTTCAAATGCAGGTTCACATGTGTGCTCAGGCTCTAAAGTCTTGAATTTAACCCCACCCCCCTGAAGAATCCTTAGATATATGGCAAACAAAGGGGCAGTCACCAACACAGATGTACCTAAGCCTTGTAGGGTCACTTTTAAGTTGCTTAGAGTTATACCCATTTGCAAGAGAATACATGTTGATCATTTTCCTAGCTTCAGGTATATCTTTAAATGTCATTGACCTATCTAACTCTTTATAATCAGTTAACTTATCATTGATGACCCTCTTCTTTTGTAAAAAAAGTTGCTCCGAATCATTAGAATTAGGAGAATCAGAATCAATAGCAGAATCATTTTCCTCACTATCATTATCACTACAATCAGTAGCAGCTTCAACTTCTACTGTGTGTGACTCACTATGAGTGACTATATTAGGTACATCAAGTGCAGGTTCACACTCTTCTATAGCAAACAAATTAATAACATTACACTGTTCATCAACAAGGTCCAATAGTGTCCTAATCCCAATATCCCCATCTATTTCATAATATCTACCGCCGGGACCCTTTACTATTAATTGCTGCACCCCTATATACCCAAACTTTGTATCAAATTCAGCAACTAAGTCAGCATAAGAGAGCAAGTCAGAGTCAAAACCTTTATTGATGTGCACATTCTTCTCTTTATACAACAGGTGTGGCTTACTACTCCATTCTCCACCATGATGAAAAACTAACTCAACTAGCACCATCTATAAAAGGCTGCATAGTAACCATGAATAATGTTAATACAGCCTACAATAGTAAATGCATAAATAGGTAAAAAAAGACAAGATGTACAGAAATAATAAATAAACATGTAAGTAAACAAAACAGTTTGATAAATAAAGGGAATAAGAAAAAGGTACAGAGGTAGATGAATAAAGACACAAAATTGAATGAGGTACATAATATTTCTGTATGCATATGGGGGACCACATAATAAACTATCAAACTTAGAGTCCCACCACAATAAAATAAGGAATAAACATATATGTAAGAGACCCACATGAGCATCATCTTCAAAGTAAATGCAGGTGAAACATGGGACCAAATAACAACAAGTCAGCTATTAAGAAATAGCTAAAATACTTTTTCAGTTAAAAAAAACCCTAACCGACCCTTCTTTAAAAAACATAAGGGACCACACATACTTGAAATCCTAAACAATAGAGATATGTCTTCTAAAATAAGTACCAAATATCATCAATTCCACCAATATACCCTAACCGACCAGTAGAATCAGACAAATAATTAGGGTATAAAGGTGAAAGTCACATGTAAACACAAACGACAAAAATCCGGTCAATATCTGAGACAAGAAACACCCTAAACGACAAACCACATATCTGAAACAAGAAAAACCCTAAACCACGAAGCACAGTCCAAAAACCCTAACTTTAACATAAAAGAAATACGAACCCTAAGACAAAAATACTTCATTTATAAACAACAACCATATCAAGCTAGTAGAAAAGTTCAGCTTTGGGGGGAAATCGTACCTTGACAGCATTCAACACTGAAAAATCGGAGTTTCTTTAGAACCTTCCACACTTTTCTCTCTCGTTTCTATCGAATTATTGCGGACCAAATGACACTCTTTGCACATTTGGACGGGTCTATCATATTTATTTGGTGGGCAAACGGGTCATGGGTCACGGGTAAGAGAGGGATATGTAAATGGGTGTAGTGGGTTTTTAAATTGGTGGGCCCGCTGATGTGGAAGCTGACATGGCAGCTGACTTGGATAAATTTTATGTGGTCAGCTGCCAGCGTGTATAGACGTTAGGGTTGGGGGCATTTAGTTTAAGTTCATTAACGGTAGGGGCAAGAATGGCCCAAATGTATAACGGGTGGCACAAGCAACCAATAGACAATAGTACAGGGGCAATTTTGACCTTTTTCCCTATAAAAATATATACAAGATATCGTATTCTATTTAAATGCACCATTAAATTTTGCAAAGGAAGAAATATCACATGATATTTTGGGATGCAATGTGTTGCATGTAACGACCCAACTGGTCGTTTTGAGCAATTGCATCCGGTTCGACAGTTTGAGGTCACGAGCAGCTTTATATTAGGTGTATCGACTTGCGTGCGCAGTCCGGATGTGAAATCGGAAAGCTTTTATGTGAAAATATGAAAAAATAGTAATTTCTAGAGTTAAAACTTGGTTTTTAGTTGACTTTGGTCAATATTTTTGGTAAACGGACCCGGATCTGTGTTCCGACTATCGCGGGAGGTCTGCGGTAAAATATGGGGCTTGGGCGTATGCCCGGAATTTGAATTCTGAGGTCCCTAGCCTTAGAAAATAATTTTTAAAGAAAATTATTGTGCTGGTTTTTAAAGGAAATAAAGAAATGAATTAATGTTTGAACTCGTTGGTATCGGGCCCGTATTTTGGTTCCGGAGCCCGGTACAAGTTTGTTATGATATTTAAGTCCTATCTGTGAAATTTGGTGAGAATCGGAATTGATTTGACGTGATTTGGACGTCCAGTTGAAAAGTTAGAAAATCATGAGTTTTGAGGTTAAATTCATAGTTTTTTATGTTATTTTGATAATTTGATCGCACGAGCAAGTCCGTATGATATTTTTGGACTTGCGTGCATGTTTGGTTTGGAGCCCCGAGGGCTTGGGTGAGTTTTGGATAGGTTTAGGCTATGTTGCGCTTGTTTTTGGATGCTTTATCGTCGTTTCTTCAATCAAAAATGATACCACATTGAGAAAATAAGATCCAAATTCAGTTTTTATTGAACCATTAGATCCGTATAGAAGTTACGGGGCCATAGGAAAAAGAACCATCAAATTTGGACATCGTATGAGGAAGTTATGCTCATTTTTGTGTCGGGAAAAATTGTTGGTTTCTGGTGTGGTCACAAATGCGAACTTTTTCTTCGCAATTGCGATGCCCAGTTCGCAAATGCGAACATTTTGACACAAATGCGACTTCTGCCAGCCTTGCCTTGTTCGCAAATTGCGAGGGTTTGCAATTGCAAATCCTGGATCGCAAATGCGACATCTGAGGCCTGTTAAGTGAGATTTTTGACGGGATTTTCACCAATTTTTCAACTTTCTCAAACCTTAAACCTCCATAGGCAATTTTTCAAAGACCCAAACTTCTCCAAATCATTGGTAAGTGATCTCTAACTAATTCCTTTCATTCCTTAACAACTTATAACAAGATTTCAACCAAAAATCTAGAGTTTTCATGGTAAAAATTGGGATTTTTGGATAGAGATTAGGATTTTCAAATTTTGGCGATTTAGACCTTGATTTGAGGTCGGATTTCAAAATCAATTGCATATTTGGGTTCGTGGGTGAATGGGTGTTTGGTTTTTGTAAATTTTGTCGGGTTCCGAGGTGCGGGCCCGGGGAGTTGACTTTTGTTAACTTTTTACAAATTGTATAAGAATTATAGTTTTGTCAATTGAAATTATTTTCTCTTGCATTGTTTGATGTATTAAAGTCGTTTTTGTCTAGATTGAGCCGAGTGTTGATGATATGGTAAAGGAAAAGCTAAATTGAGTATTGAATTGGCCGGATTGAGGTAAGTATCTTGCATAACCTCGTGTGTGAGACTTTCCCTTAGGATTTGAGTCTTCTATGTTGATTGTAGTCCGTGTACGCGAGGTGACGAGTGTGTGTTCGAACTTATTTGTGGAAAGTTGGCCTTTTAGAGTTCTTAGGTCCTTGTATTCACTGAGTATGAAGTTGTTCTTCATATGATTGAGCTTCCATTTACTAGTTTCACCTCTACATGCTTTAATTGGAATTAATTGTTTTATGATTCATTCTTATTGCCTATTTGACTCTTATTTTGCTTAATTGAAGATTTTTACCTCTTCTATCGTAACTGCTTGTCTTTATTGGGAACCATTATTATCTCTCCTGTAATTATTTAGTCTTAATTAAGGTTATGATTATCTTCCCGTTGCTCATCCTTAATTGAAATTGTTGTATATTCTTCGTAATTTGCCCAACCTTAAAAGAAGTTTAGGTATCCGATATTTAGTTGACATTTCCTTGTTTGGAATTATTTGATTCGTGTTAGCTTCCTTCTTGTTGAACTACATATTATGGGATCGTTGCTTCACATTATTTTCTCCCTTGTTGAGCTGTTCTTATTACGCTTAGTATTCTCTATTGTGGTTATTCCTTGTGAGCTAGTTTTACAGTCTCCTTGTTATCGAAAGTTCTCGAGTTGATTTACTTGTCATGTTCTTGTATATATTGTCATTGTTGATGTGGTACTTGTTGTGGTGGTGCACGAGGTTTCTGCCATGCTATTGCTACTATTGACATATTGCACATGCGGCGTGGCAAGACGGGATATATATTGTGATGCACAAGGTTTCTGCCGTGCGGTTATTGTTATGGGGTTGCACGAGGTTTCTGCCATGCTATTGCTACTGTTGACATATTGCACATGCGGCGTGAAACAAGGTGGACACTTATTATGTTATTATTTGCACACGTGGCGAGACAAGGTGGGCTATGTCAGGGATTGATTGTGATGGTTTGTGATGGCCTGGGGGCATTCTTGTTGTTTGATATTGTATTGTGGTATGCTTACCTGTATGAGTTTTTTCTCGTGGAAGTTGTGAGAAAACATCTTATGTGTCGTCCGTTCTTTTCCTTATGCTTATCAGCTGGTAGGAACTATGTTAAAGCACTTGCACAAGCATACACGTAGTTGAACACTCCCATTGGATATGAAGTTCTCCTTATATTTGCTGAGTATTGATGTACACCCTCGTCTACTTGTCATATATGTGAGAGTAGCTCTAGTTAGTAAGTGAGTTATCATCGTGACCATGAATTGTGATGGGGGCACATGATGCTAAGTGTTAGGGTTCAGGTATTGGGACCCGTGAGCTGTAAGTTGTTCGAGGTTCGGTATTTCGTGGAGTCTGTTGGCTAAGACTTGATGTGAACGCTGTCGTAGGTTCTGAGTTATTGCTTACCTTTACTGTATTTGTGATTTAGGTTTTGGGTTTGTGATTTCGCTCGCTCTTCTATGTCATTATTATGGTATTTCCACTGTTACTTGCTGTTTTTCTTCCCTTACTATGATTGTTGTATTGTTAGCCATAATGTGTAGTCTTTATATGTATACATCATGTTCCGTTGTTCCTATGCTTATATTTGTACAGTTTATTAGACCGGTAGGTGTCTTGACTGTTCCTCGTTACTACTCCACCGAGGTTAGTCTTGATACTTACTGGGCATCGCGGTGGTGTGCTCATGCTACTCTTCTGCACATTTTTGTTGTGCAGATCCAGGTGTCGATCGTTAGTAGCTGTGCGGACCATTGCTGAGGAGACTCAAGGTAAACCTTCTGCTGCGTTCGCAGGCTTCGGAGTCACCTTCTTACTTCTATTCAACTGTTTTCACTCCTTTCCAAACAGTTTATGTAGAAGTGGCAGCTAACTCTGTAGAGCTTATGACTTGTACTACCGTGTTTTGGGAATATGCTCATTGTATAAAGGATTCATTCTAGAAAATTTTTAAGATGTTATTTATTATTGTTGTTCTTCTGTAAATATTAGGCTTACCTAGTCCTTAAGACTAGGTGCCGTCACGAAACCCAATGGAGGGGAAATTGGGTCGCGACATTGCATGAAAGTAATATAAATTAAAATACACTTCAATGATCGTGAAATTGAATAAATTTGATTAATTAACAGTGTTACGTTGCGTGACTTAGAG